ATACATTTTATGTTTTTCATTATCATAATCAACAATTATTATTTTATAAGAGGAAAAATGAAAACTAAAATATAAAAATCACTTCGCGAAAACACCATTATTTTAATTTTAAAAATATATTCAAGTAATGAATTTGCCTAAAACATAATTTCGTGCATTCAAATTCTTTCAAGTGTTTTTTCTAATCTTAAATTTTTCGGGTATATAATATTTATTCTTCTTAAGTAAAATCTGCGGAAATAGCCATCGATATTAAATATAAAGTATATGTAATGCTCATGAATATATGAAAACAAAAGTACCGAAATATAAACCGTTTCATTTGACTTGCATATTTTTTCTTTTAAATCATGTTTGAAAAAATATCGGGGTTCTTCAATCCAAAAATCATATCCTTTTTTGAAAATGAAGTAATAACATCCTAAAGCGGATGTCGCACATCTGTTAAAGACCTAATAACCAATAAATTGTCTTAAAACAGACGACTTCGACCAATGTGCACGTTATTTCGCACAATGTGCTGCTCACGTTTTGTCGGTTGCGATTCATAGAACAATTTTATGAAAGATATTACAACTCAACATAATGATACGAAATTGCGACAGTTTAACATTATAGTATTGAGACATTCAAGTACGAAATAAACGAAACTAATGCTGCCTGATGCTTGATGTGAATGTTACGTGCTTATATTTTTTGGTACTTAATAGTATTGCGGTCAGTGAAACCGGGCGTTTAATACATAGTTATTAGGTAAGTAATGGTGATAATGAAAATTAAAATTATTATAATGATTGAGGTATCTGCCCTGGTGATGGAGCCATTCGCCAGTCGAAGGTCGCCCGCTCACCTACGCTTGACGACCGCACGCTTAAATACGTCACACTTTGTACCGCAGATTCCTTAACTAGTCGATGTGCAAAAAATTCATACATTTATAAATAGACACGAGACTATGTAATATAGAATGACTCTTAATAAACCCCTACACTCAATAGATATAATGAAATATTCTCGACTTTGATTGCTATTGCTTTTTATAAAATTAAGAACTAATTATATTTTTAACGTAATTATAAGTCTTTAATTGTGTATCGTCGTGTTTTTAGCCGCTCATTAAAAAAGTTAATATGTTGAACTAATTATGTATGGTTCCCTATTGTACGTATGTTTCACGTACACCGCTATATCCTGGTTTTCATTATAAATCTGACAGTTTTATAGTTGTTTCCTTCGTTGGTTCGCATTAAGATTTATATCACTTTCTTAGTCGTTGAGATAAGTAGCTTTTACTTTTGTCAGCGGTCAACGGAATCGAGATACTTGAGTTATATATACTTTAAGTAGTTTAAGGATTACTTTTAATTTTATTCCTTCAATTATTTTCTTTACTAAAAAGTTCAAAGAGATGAGATTTGTTTATAGAATCTATTTAAATGGACTAAACATTTATTCGGATTTACATTAACGATAGGAGCTTTGCCTACGTGGTCAATGTTGCTAATCCAGTAATACAGCGCGTTGCGAAAGAGTTGCGCAACTCTGCGTGCCGTTTGATGCAACTGCAGCGACTTCAATAACCCCGCAACGACACAACCTTCGATTTCCCTCGTTATGACACACTAGAGTTTACTCGTCAAAATCATTTCCAACTAATATAATATTTAGATAAGTTTTACTCAAGTTTGACACATAGCAGTTAACTTACCACAGATGTGTTAAACTAGTTACATACATCTGGTTACGCAATCAACCCAATTTTTTGTGACCGCGTTTTTGATATTAGTATTCAAATTGCTACAAAAAGGTTGCTTCAAAATGCAATTAAGTCATTATAATATTCATTCAATAAGCCAAGGATACAGAAGGCCAGTGCAAAATGTGTTTCATCTCGCATAAAGTGATTATAAATGTTTTAAATGCGCATATAATTTGTTAGCGATAACCAGCCATGTTTATGGTAACGAATGGAAACAAGTAGCTATTACTCTTAATGCAAAATATTCAATCGGACGGCCGGCTCGTCTGCAATACGTCAGTATCACAGTGAAGTATTGCAATGGAAATGATATCGCTTTTAAATTCGGATTTTTTTTTTCTACACTTACGTATTCATAATCGCAGTACGTTACGTAATCAACATTATGAGCTAGTGCGATATTTAAATAGTTACAAAACTGAAACAATGAGCAGTTAAGTGTTTGAATGTCCCGTGATCACAGTCCGAAACCAAGGCTCTTATGTAAACAATGCGCTAGTGCAGGGACATCAGGTAATACGTTCCGTTCCTGCGTTGCGAGGTAAATTACGTTACGTTCGTGAGTAGAAACGCCTTCATTTCGGTGATTATTGTTCCGCAGACTGCGTCGGCGTACCAGAAATTGTTATACGAAACCATTGTTGTGATGGCTACGTAACGTATGTGGGCTTTTAACTGCAGCGGAGAAAGTGGCACAGCCATCGGCAAGGCCGCTAGTTGCTTTCCGACCTTCACAATACACTTCCGGGATCCATTTATATTAAGATTTTTTCAATTCAAGCTGATACTCATGAGATGATTCTCATTAAATCCAAAAATAATTGAAATTATTAAGGTTCTTTGTAGTTAAAACATCCGTAATTATAACGATTCAATATATTTATTAGTTCTCAATTCAGCGAACCTTCAAAAGTTAAATGAATCGCGTGACAATCGCAACATGTAGTTGCAACATCGCGTTGAGCTGGTCATCGCGTGCACCACCTCCTGCCAATCGTACCATAGATCCTAGTTAGTGACCCTGGCTACCATAACAATTACTTTACCTACCCGACCCTTAACTACAAACAACTTCATAAATACCAGATATATTATCCTCGCAAAACAATAATACAATCGGACTATCCACAAAAAACTATAATTAGCATTTTTAATGAATACAAGTCTGAGTGCCAATTAAAATCATATCGTTTATAGACATAATCAAAATGTATAAGGTATATGGTCAGAATGCTGTGTTGAATATAAACTGGTTTATATTTTTATTTAATATACTTCATAAATATTTAGATGACCCTCTCTCATGTTCACGTCAAGGCCACACTTATATTACATTTTCTGTTAAAAATATTTCATTCTTCACCAATTATATACTTAAGTAAACTCAGAAAGTAATGCAAACTGAAGCAATTTTAATTTAAAAACAAAATTCATATCAATTCTTATCTCGGTATATGTTGGTTCACGGTAGATTAGAGCTATTAAAATAATTTCAAAGAGTTATTACAGTACGCTAAGTCAATACATCGGTTCTAATAAATTCAATGCTTTAATGGCTATTTGACTTTATCGTATATGAAATAATAATAGTACACTGTTTAAGTTTACAACCGTAATGGTTCTGAGATGCTTCCATTGAACTGTTTCATAATTTTCAATTTACAATGTCACATTGATTACTGATACGCCTTGGTGCTTCGCTTCGTATATCTTCGTTTGAAGGTTCCTTATTAAAGATGACTAGTTTTTAATTATGTTAATGTAGTATCTAATATCTATTACTAAACTATTAACTTTTTCACCAATATAATTATATTTGAGACGTTTTGATGATTGATTAGTTACAACAGACATTTAAAATTCTAATGTGCCCTCACAAACGAGTTGGTTGTTCTTTTACATGAACAAGTCGTATCTATAATATGTTTTAAATCAAGGACAGGATTTTATTCTTCTGTAATATAGACAGGCACAAGACCGAGACTCAGATGTAAGATAAGAGGATATCGGCAACACGAGTCAGCTGTGAGACCTACGACGATTATTTGATATTTAAATAAGTTTTTTTTTATAAAGACACATCGTTTATCGAGTGATGTAATTCATAATATGTAGTATAAATACAAAATATAACGCGTATCGTCTCCTCACTATTTGATAGTACGTCGCGGCTGGCCGATACGGCCGTTGAATTAATGTCCCCAATTCAATTGAAGTGTTTCATTAGCACAAGTGGCTCCGATTGCTTCGTTGATTGTGCTCCACGATCGACGCAAAACCGACAACACTTGTACCTACACTATACAACATTATTTCATCATAACAATGAAAACTAAAATAACTTAACACGATGCATAAAGACTCAATTAAAGATATCGAACTATATTTAGAAAAATTGCAAGTAAATAATGTTATGTACAGATCGATCTTATCGAATGTTTTATAAACAGTAGTTAACGTGCTCACTTTGCAGGAAGAAAAGCAAAAAATCTTATTTATTCGTGCCATACACGGATCAAATGCTTATGAATTATTTATATAAAACCTGTTTATAATAGGACAAAGCATGATCTGGCTCGTGCAATGGCTTTCAATTGCAATAAATTTCTGCTCTTGAGTCTGACTTCCAGCTTTAACACGTTCATATATATTTTAAATATTACGTTATATCTCAATAATTCGTCTGTTAAATTTCACATATAAAATATTAAATTTTTATTCTGTTCTATCTGATAATGTACTTTAGTTATATTTTTTTTTACAAGAACAACTTGTTACCGTCGACTGCTAGTTATTATTTCTTTATTTATGTATTGCTTCACAGTTCTAAAACAAAACGTCATGTACTGACGATCACATTACATAGTTACATAACAAAATTATTACCCAAGCCACCTAGATACCATTATTACGGACAAGTTGATAAATTACCACTGTCATTTGTAATAAAACTGTCGTAAATATAATGCATTTAATTACCAAATTCAACATCATAAATTCCAATTATAAAGTATATATATTATAGGTACAAATACATTCTGCTTTACGTTTTAAAGCTAGCTAAAACGGTTTTACTTTCTTGTTAAAATTGCTATCGCTTTCAATGGGGACCGGTCTGGTTGGTCAGTTATTAATTTTATAGAGGATCATACGAACAGATAGAATATTATTGTGCTACATTATAACATTGTATATAAATATATGTTTATTGTTTGCTAATATTTTGTTTTCTTTCTTCCAGGTGAGCTCCGAATACCTGACGGACGATGAAGTTGTTTCCACTGTAAGTTCATTGATAATACAGAAGAGTTAATTATATATATGAAAAAAATTATTGATTCAAAGTTTGATTGAAATTTTAAAAAGGTTTTTTATTAACATTATCTCTTAATGAATACGCCGTCTTCTCTTTCAATCGAAAGGTAATCCTTGAGATTTAAATTACATTCTCGTACAAAATTATATGTTTTATATGCTTTGCATTAATACCGTAAGTAGAATTGTTTGCATTGCATTAATTTCAATGGCATCAAGAATTTGTAGTTGCGAAATATTATTATGGACTAAATAGACAAAATTAGTTTTGATTCATTGTTGACCGTTTTATTGTATAGACAATTTTCACGAAGGTCAACATTAAATACCGATTACATTTATGATAGTGATAAATATTTCTATTTAGAGGTGAATGAACTTTGGTGGATTTGTATATTTTAGCAAGTGCAAAATACAATTACAGTGGCATTGAACTTTTAATCTCGGTATAAGCGAAACATAAAGAACTCATGATTTAAAGGAAATTTTTAAAAATACATTACAATGATAGAAGTACAAAGTACCCATAATAAAAATACTTATGTTTTCTAATAATAATGTAATCTTTGAAGTGTTCGTTTTAAGTACTGTATCAGCATAATCTTTTAGTGCATTGGTTAATTTTGAAAGTTACTGATAACTATACTGTCATATAAAATACTTAATGGACGCATTAGTCATAGAAAATCTTTTCCTTTGTACATTATCTGTATGAGTCATAGTACAATTTGCGGGGAAAGCGTAACCCGGTAGTGTTGAAACATAAAAATTGTATGGACAAAGGAATTGTTACCACGAGACTGACGTAAGAACAGTTTAGAGCACTAATGACGGCCCACAATCAACGAACATGACAGAAACATTTTTATCTGAACCAATTAAAAAGTTTGTATATGTTATACGACATCTAATGAGGTATGTTCATATTGAGAGGGTCTGTACTCAGTGTTCGTGAGGATCATTGTTTACATGTTTTGTTCCGCAAAACAGCTCCGTTCGTAGGTGTTGCATCTATAAATATGGAGGTGCTAAAAGCGGCCGGCTTGGGGGACGTGCTTCCTTCGCTTTGAACAACCGTGGAGTAAACAAGCCAGACTTGCATCGAGCCCTTTGTTGACAATCGTTTAACGGCGATACCTTGTCCCGAGGTTTATGGCCAACGCAATAAACTACCGCGTCCGTACTGTAGCTGACTCCGCGTCTATATCACAGTCATCAACCAAATATTACATCCATACACATCCTACATGTAATGTTTAAGTAAACGCTAGTCTTGATCCAACAGGATTCTGTAAATCCTGTTTACCGAGTCACATATGCATGTCAACGAACCTTATATGTGCATTAGTAGGGGTGGTCATTAATTCAATATTACAATATGAAGTCGTTAAATGACAACCATTTAACTATTCTCACAACATCGTCCCATACGTGATTTCCTGTTTGTCCACCGTTTCGCCTGGGACACTAAAATAAAATATATCTCCATTGTTTCTTATAATAACGAGAAACAATTGATAGCTATGCAAATAGAGGTGAAGCGAGCTATGGAATTTTTACCATAGGCGGTGAGTCTCGCATGGCAATCGAGTCGAAGCCATCTGCATGCAGTGTACGGACCACGCGTCCGGCCTTAGTCATACAACAAGCTCGTTGTGATACCTTTATCGACGCTGTTACTCTGTTAACTACTGATTGGTCCTATCATGTGCGACGAACTCATTATATAATAATATTTGTGAACGGACAATACTAATGGAAATGTATCATTACTTGTTTACATTAAACAAACTAGCTATAAATAAATATCAGTGTTTACCTCATCCTCATTAATGCTCTGTTATTATTTGAATCATATATTTATTTTATATATGTCACAGTCTTAATAGATCGCCCCCCACTAGATGTAATTAAAAAACGCTCATTCCAATTAAAAATGATTACATTAGATTTACGTCTCAGCGGGAGAAGTTACCGAAAATAGTTGGCCCGTTAATAGAACGATGTACGTTAACATATAAATTTATTAATACAATGTCTTATTAAAATAGCGGAACAATGCGTGAGTTGTACTCGCAACGAGTTGTCATACGATATTGAACCTTTTATGTAAATCAAAATAAACAAAGGATGCAATACACGAGACAAAGGGGCGAGAAATAAAGTAAGGTGGACGATTATATTTCCATTATTGGTAGGTTGAGATATAGTGAGGGGGCCGCTTCTTGGATGGTTATTTTCGCGCAATCATTCAATAAACTGAATCATAGCAATCGACAAGACAGAGGGTCTTCAGAGAAATGTACCAATTTCGTTGATCGGTGCACCGAGTTGGATAACTTTTTTTCTCGTCCGTATAATGTTAGTATTAACCAGTGTCATAGTGAACGTAACATAATGCGTATTTCATGAATTTAGAGAGTCATAAAACTTAGGAGTGTGAAACCACAAATGACTCGGTTCATAATCAAATGTAATATTATTATGTAATAAAAATATCTATATTAGTTACAGACGAGATGACCGAGTGTTTTAAGTCGTTAAAAGTTCATTTAAATATAGAACGCATTTGATTAGATACAATTAACGTTCAATTAAATACGAGTGTTCACTTGTCGCTGGATCAATTGTCGCGAGAGTCTTCGTTATTCTAGAAGTTCATGCTCCTCGTATCAACTTACAGGAAACAATGAATAAAAGACATTACTTGCCATAATAAAACATAATAAACCCAACAAACACCAGTAAAAAGGTTGAACTTTTTAACCCCGGCTGGTTTTATAACTGTTTGGAGTTGAAGAAAAAAAGAAAACAAACGTCACTGACACATGACGTTTGGATGAATAAAAAATTGGCATGTCCCATATATTTCCTTTGTTCAGTTTAAAAGATTATTTTGTACTGTATCTCCTCACTCGCCTATTAATGTTTTTGTTAAGCTTGTTTTATATTTGAATTGTAAAAATCGTTCTCTTTAACGTAATATTCGCTGAAAACCAGAAACCTCATTTAGCATCTTCGTTGTGCCGAGCCGTTGCCCTCTTAGGTTATCTGAAGAAAATATTTTTAGCAGAACTTCGTACGTATACAACTGACAACATCTCGGGAGGTGTAAATTTCCCTGATTACCAACGTAAATATACGGTCTGTCATGAGTGTTTTAGAGTTCGATAACCTTTCTTTAACAGTTTTTAGATTTTTGTATCCTTGCATGTAAATTAGTTGAGTAAAAAGATAAAAAACATTGTACAGTAGGTAGGTATAACGATTTCAATACTTTGTGTTATATTTCTGTGAAATATTAACGCAATGTCTAGTTAGTCAGTCGTTAAACACAAATGCCCGTATTCCTTACGTGTTATTTCAGAAAACAATCCTAGAGCTATATAATTCTATGCGTCTATGATTGCGTCGTGCTTTGCCTATCCGTCTGATGCATATTAACAATGTAAGAAATCTTTTATGCAAGTTTCGATTGCAACGAGCCACGGCTTGTTGTAATGACGGACGCTTGTGCAAATATATATACAACATAATACTAAAAAGACGCGATAACTTTGAAACTTTTAATTATTTTCCTCTGATTCATTCTTGGATTGCATATAGCTTCCTCAATTTACATATATAATACATTTGAGGTATATCACATCTCAAACAATTTTGAATTTTATCTCAGTACACATTAAAATCTATATTCATTCGTGGACGGAGTAGTTGAAATACTATTTAGTAAACACGTATGTGACTAACGCCTGGTCCTAGTACGCGCGTCCAGCTAATGGATACATATTATTATAATAAAGTGCTGTAATTGCTGCGTGGTTGTTCGCGCCGATTGCCCTCAGTTTCGAACGCAATGACCGCACTGCTCGAAATCGACAGTGATTACAAATTTCCCTGGAGCTGGGTTGCGAATGTCCGATGGAAAGCGCTTAACCAATGTCACGCTCTGATAACTATCTAATTACGACTGGTAGCATTCACCATACTCATAGCCGGCCATGGATTTAACCCCTGAACGTTTTAACAGACATTATCCGCAACCAAAACTAAACGGAGTGATAATTTTTTTTGTTACACTTTCCCGCGATTGCATGATTGTCTTTCTATTTGTTTAATTCAAATCAAATTTCTTAATGCATTGATTTTTTTGTTGTGAAGGAAACAATTTCATACAATTTATTTTGTTTCTCACAAAGTAAAAAGACTATAGCATAACGATAACGTGGTAATTGAAAAAGTCTTGCTTATAGTTAGAGAACAATAGACATTTACACTCAACTAAAAGCGTTTGTGTAATTGTTTGCGTACGTTCGTCTTTTAACCGCAAGATTTGTTCCTTGTGATGTATTCAGTTTTAAGGTTACTGGCTAGATTTTAGATAATTTTGCGAACCTGTCATGTTCCAGAGAAGAATATTAGGCAGAAAGTTAGAGAGGAAAATTTAATAAAATCTCATCTGGTTTCCATATCAGCTTCACAAATAACGTGGCATATAATTATGTTGTAACATAAAACACTGTTTACGTGTTTACGTTCTGATTCTTAACCAACGTATAGAATATTCAATGATATGTCTTCACATCTATTGAGGTTGCCGCATACGAGATGTGATCTATCATACATTATGTATACCCACCAGGTTCCGCGTCCAACCATTCTTAACCTTCGAGTTAACTTCTCTCACCGTCACTTGTGTTTCTACTTTATGTCGTGTCTTCTAAACTCCTGGATCATGTTTGTAAATTTATCATACATCCGCACAATGCTTAGTTACGGATCAACTGACAACAAAGCCTGACAACAGGTTGTCAGTTGTCTAATAGATTATGAATCGATCACTAAGACTTTAACTGTAAGTTTACACGTCGTCCGTTGCCCCTCGGGCCGGGTTGGCTCAGCGACAATTATTCCTCATTGCGACGACTCTCTGACGACGCGCGACGTTGGTGAACAATAGTATACAATCACTGCAATTGTGCCGGCCCAGCGCTCGTGTCAACTACCTCTCGTATGAACATTGAACACAACTATTGTTATGCTGATCTCGTGTACTTAACACTGACACTTACAAAACTATACTTATTGAAAGCATTCATACATTTTCTAACAAAAAAATACGGTTACCTAACGGAGTCAACGTACGGGGGATCGGGTCGTTAACTAATTTCCAAAATAATTCACCCTATTAATGGTGTATCTGTTTCGAGTCATTAAAATTTGTTTCTCCCCCGGGCTCTTTTAAAGGTCTGTAAAAGCTCATTTAATTGAAAATATATATGGAACGTTTAACGCTGAGGCTATAAGGGTTGTTCGGGCAGGTAGAAAAAACGAAATCAAAGGGACGGGATCTTTTTTTGTTAGATATGGCAGGTATACTGCCGTACCTGCAAGGTTTTTTTGGATAATAAATGACAAGCGTACTTTGAAAAAGATTTGAATTCTAATCTCTACAAACTTTCTTAGTCTTTTACTTAACTTTGTGTTGTAAATTATCGAAACTGTAATTATACAAATTAATGGATTTCTTCTCTTATTTTTCAGAACCAATCTCGCCCAGTGCAGACGATGAATAGTACATTAAGCAGCGCCCTCGGCCCAGTCGGCGGTACGAATGTTACTGCTAGTGTGGGTTGGGATCAACACCCAGTTCTAGCCAGAGCTGCCTCCGTGCCAGCACAGCGCGCTCTCGCCGGCCTCCTGAACAGCCTCGGCCACCGTCGCCTTGAACGCACCACCAGTGACCCCGCGCCTCCTCCACCAGCCACCAGTCGATACAAGACCGAACTCTGCCGACCATTCGAAGAAGCCGGTGTATGCAAATACGGTGACAAGTGTCAATTCGCTCACGGAGTACGAGAGCTCCGTAATCTGCAGCGCCATCCCAAGTATAAGACAGAGTTGTGCCGCACCTTCCATTCAGTCGGTTTCTGTCCATACGGACCGAGGTGTCATTTCGTACACAACGCTGAGGAGGCGAGACGCCGCGAGCCGCCGTCCCCAGGCGGTTCCTTAGCTTCGTTATCCTCGGGCGGATCTCTAGCTTCCTACATGAGCGATGGTTCCCGTTCGCCCAGATCTCCTCACTCTCCGTTGACCCCTCAGTCCCCTCTAGCGCCACACTCTCCACCAGCCATCACTCCTCCGGACTACTCGTTCGCGTTCCGCCGCCCTCAGTCTCCGGAGCCCGAGGAGGACCGACTGCCCGTCTTCAATCGCCTGTCGTCAGCGTTCGGCGATCTCGTCATCGCCTAGTCCTAAGTTAACAAATGGAGTGTATCGTATAAGGATCGTCCGTCACCGTAGTGCCTACACGACGTCTTCCAACACCGCGGCTAGCGAGCTCCCGATCGACGCGCCGCCTCACACGCTCAACTCATGATCTCCGGCTCCCCGATGTTCTGATTCTAGGATGCTCTTGATTTGATACATCGCCTTGTTATATTGTAAAGTTAGTTATCAATGGCGTCTCGAAAGTTTGCGGTGTGATTATATTAGATATAACAATCATTTAGTTATCGGCACGCATTTGTAAATGGCACCTTATATTTTTAGATATTTATTTGTGTAGGTCGCGGATGTCTTCCCGTGGCGATCCTCCGCCGAGCGGTGGTTTTTGTAAAGTTAGCTTATAGAAACATTTTATTTATTTCGTACTGCCTGCCCGCGCTCGGTACCGTACCGCGAGAAGGCGCTCGTGATCTATTATTAAGGATATAAGATAATAATTTATTATTTATTTCGAGTCTCTTTAACTTTAATTATTATTTTATAGCAAGCAGTTTGGATGCCACACCGCATACGGACGAGGCCCGCGTCGACGGGACGTGGCTCGTTGTTCATACATCGGCTCGGCTGATTCTTATACCGACTCCGTCGTGACTAGCGAACGATATAGAGAAACAGCCGACGCAGATAAGGGCTCGGTAGATATACGGGCTTACAACGAACAAAACTCACCCGGATTAATTATAGACGAGAAGATATTTTGGTTTTTATTTATCGTGTAGCGTCATATTATCAATGTGCGAGTTATTCGAGTATCATTATGAAGATAGGACGACCGGCGAGACGCCTCCAGCGGCTCGTCTGCGAGAATTTTTCCTTTTTGCGTCGACCGAGCGGGTTGCGTGTTCAAACCTGTTTGAGACTTTTGGTGATTGTTTTTTTTCCGTACGTCGCTTGCTCGTGGCGATCATTCGACCGCTCAAACGAACGCAAAAAATTACAGGTAACAGAGTTGTAAGCCCGTCGCTCTCCCGAGTCCGTGGACCGTTTATGTGATCAGTAGGAGTTTGCTTCGTAGACTTTAAGCAGCTAGCTATACCCATTCAATATATCAGAACGATGACAACATAAAAACTTTGCATTCGTTAGTTGACGTCGCAAACTCATACTTCGCAATACTGTATAGAGATATGACAGACGTACATATATAAAGCATGTTGATACTTGATAGTTAGAAGTAGTGTAGCGCGGTTCCCCACAACCCCCTCGCGCTTCCAAACCGCGCTCGCATCTTCAATGAACAGTGCCTTTTACATTATAACAAAATAAATCGATTTTATAATTTAATTTTTAGTTGAACGAGATAGAATGATTTTTTATTTATTGTCTCCTTTTGAATATAATATTCAAATTGGCACAGTTATTAATTTTTGTACTTTGACAGAGCTAAGTGATTAATTTCGACGTAGAATAGTTTTTTCTTTGAATTTAAAGTGTGATATTTTATAATATTTATATAACAAAGTTTAATGTTTTAATTAAGGGACCAATTACGTGATGAGGAGAAATTCTGACATAATCCACATGTGCTTTGGATACTAGCCGGAACGCTCGTCTATCGAGCTTATATTTTTTTACAAGACAGATATACGTTTTTGTACCGATAGTAATAAAATCACATGTCAATGACCAATAAGTGTTTTAATTTTGTTAATTCGTGAATCTTTAGAACCGAGATGGTATTTTTATGTTCGAGATCAGTTTTTCTCCGTCTCATAGCAAGTCGTTGTATGGTGACCACAGTACGATAATAATTTTGTACCTAACTTTAAGTATATTAGTTTTAAGCGTTTTTTTTCATAAAGTTCGCGAATATTATTTATTATCAGTTTCATTACGATTTACAAAACCATTTAAGCTGAATTTATTTAATTTTCTTTTTTTTTTTGTATTTAAAACGGACGTATAAATTGTACGACAACTTAATGTTAGTAATATATCATGAGTCATTTATTGTAACAGGCGTTAGTTTAGATACTCTAGTACCTATGTCACTTGTAATTAAGTATTTAATTTTTTTTTATTAATTTAATTCCGATTGTAAGTTAATCTTCCAAAATATTACATTCTCTTACGGACAAAAAAAATTTGAAAGCTTGTTTATGACATTTTCTTATATGTTTTCTTAATTTCTTTATATCCATCTGCATTTTTATTGAATTATAGTCAAAATATGTTAAAAATAATTTTATTTTTGTTTTTGTTGCATCCTCACCCAATCCTTTTTTTCCTTTTTATCTTAATTTTTACATAGTTATATTTTTTATATTTAATTTGTTTTTTTTTTGGCAACGTCTATCATAGCCTTATTTAAAATAATTTAGTGCCAAAACAAATAATATAGTAAAATATTTAAATATGACATTAAGCTATAAAGTATTTTTTATATCAGATAAAAATGAAATACAGTTTTATTTTTCAAATAATAACTATTACTTGTATTGAAGAAACTTTTATAACCTATTTACTGGTTATGAAATTATTATAAACAATTAGATGTTTATAAAATAATCTATATAAATATAAAAGAAAGAATTCTACAACTTATAAAAGTCAATACACATTTCATTTAAGATGACAAATATTATTTATTTATAAATATTACTTTTACTTTATAGATCCGATTTTTTTTCGTTCTGTAAAACAATCAGCTATAAATTTTTACAGAAAAACATTAGACAAAAGACAATATTAAACATAAAAAAGTAATTAAACAAACAGATAAAAATCTTTTTATATCTATGTACAAAACAAAATTGGACATTCTGCCTTAAAGTTTTTTATATATTTAAAACTAGAATAATATTTTTTTGAATACATATTATCTTACAGTACAGTGCATTACGTCCATATATAATGACATATTAGTTTAAAAATTTAAATGTTTAATGTGTCCTAATAATTCTAAGTACCTAAAAAAATATTCGAAGAATTAAAAAAAAATCTTATACTCTTCTATTAATGAACGTCATGTAAATTAAATGAAATTGATTATAATTAAAATTGCGCAAAACTGAATCCGATACAAGTGTTGATTGTAAACTGCTTTATTTGGTTAGTATCAAATTTCAATTCCTGGAGCTAAGTCGGCCACTCTAGTAACCCGATACTTCGATAAAGCGGCCTTGAAAAACAGCTACAACATAAAAACAACTCATCCGACACATAACACCTTTATTTATTACTGCATAGGGTCGAAATTGCAAAATGAATTAATTTCAACAAATATCGGTGCAACTTAACATAAACGGATGTTACAATCTGGAACTCTGCATAAATAATGAACACTATAAAAGATTAATGTGTAACCATATGGTATTGAAGTATTGAGTTTTTTTTACGTAAAACCCATGAAAAGGGATTTTGTATAATATATACATATATCCGAAATTTATATAACTTAAATTATATATCATAATAAGATGAACAGGGATTCATAATATTGGTTCATTTAAATTATTGCCTGAGATTCTATTAGATTCTATTTGGTACTATACATTGGAAATAATTTTCATATTTATATTCGCTTTGCACATACTGCATACAGAAGGGTTATGCCTAAATTTGTTTTAAATTCCCTTACCAGATAAGGTAATATTACGTCAAAGATAGTACTTAAGTAAATAATATATCGGTGCTTTATTTTTTATGTATTTTTGAGAAACTCTAGAATGATGTTCGTGTAAGCAGGAAGTTTTATATCACTAAAATTAAAACAATCATTAAAAACTTCTTGATGGTAGAAATAGGTAAACACAGATTTAAATTAGCTCAATTTTGTTTTATTGGCAAACCAAAGTGTTGCAACCTTTAATTGCATTTGGCTACTCAGTTTCTTTAAAACATATATTTTAAAATCTTTGCTTAATACCTGCTATGAAAAATCCTAGTTGTTAGCGATCTCGCCATTCTAATCTATAAAATAATATACAATTGAGATCAATAACTGATATATTTTTATACAATAACATACCTTAATATCTACAGAAACACTATTATTATCAAAACATGAGAAATACATCGTAATTTATATAAAAAGAACTCGTTCTTACTCCGTAGTGAAACACGGAAACGTTGAAGGTTTATTTACACTTGAGATTTAAATGGTAACTGTATGTCAATCCTGTCTGATATGTCACATATCAAGCCCAAGAAAGCAAATACGAAGACTCGTATTAGTTCAGCGATAATAATAATTGCTGCTGGTGCGATAACGGACCCATTATCTAATATTTGTACAAGTTACAATGATTAGATAACTTTCAAGATGTATGAAGTTATCAACTTACTAAACTGGTTACAGGGAATCATGGAAGGAACGTTAGGGCTGACGAGATTTATAACACTTTTATAGACAGCCCTGAACCCTTCCTCTTGACAGATTAATTATAGTAATAATTTTATACGACCATAAGTACATATTTAGATAGTAAAAAAGAAATTCCTCTGTATTAATCCAAACGCCATTTAGTATATTTTATATATTTTTTAGTTGAATCTTCTGCTTTCGGTAACTGGAGTCATAAAAACAACATTAATTCATCGTAAAATATATATGTATAGTGATATTTAATATACAACTTGCTACAGACTTGAGCATTAAATAAACAGTCATGAGCGCTTGACCGTACATTTTTTTTAAGTACAGTTCACGGTCAGAAATGAATAACTCTCAATTACACTGTACTTTATTAAGTCATGGTTAATGTTACTATATTTATTTACTATCATTAACTGGGAGTGAAATACTTTAGATACCAAATCAACTTTATTTTAAGAATTTTTCTATGCTTTAAATTGGAGCTTATTAGGTCGATACGGAAGATCTTCTGTTAAAAAAAAATAATTAAATAACAACTTAAAAATAGAAAAGTAACTTGTTAAAGAAAAAATTGACTAAGTAATTGTTTTATCTTGTTAACATTTTGTTTAATATTCTAATATATTTCATCATTTTCAAAATAAGA